CTAAGCCTTATAAAGCTGGGCATGTTCCCTGGGAACCTGGGCTCCGGGCCCCTGCAGCTTCTCAGTGGCACCTGCACAGCTCAAAGTACATTTGACTTATTGGCTTTTAATTCACGTGATTCATGTGATTAATATTTAGCTTGTATTTTTTCAACCATTCTAGTTCAGTGTATTTTTAGGTGACTTATCTCCACTTAATAGAATTATACTGTGCTTTTACCAGTGTAATCACATATTGTCCTATAAAAATTCAGTAATTTTTTTAAGAGAACCTTTGTAGGAAAGAGCACTTTTTCTTTCTGCTAAAATTCTGTGGCAGCTGTTGAAGATCAAGGGGAAAGCAGAGCTCAGTTTGATGCAGTGTTTTTCAAAAAATTCACATGGGTAACCTCATATGTATAGCTTGAAAAATGCAAACTCCTTATAGGCCAAAAGTAAGCGAAAAGGGACAAAAGGCAACAGAGATAGGTGCCATTGAGGTTTTTGTTTAATTGTGCATTAGTTTTCTTTGTTTTTTTATTAAACAATTAGCATTTTTTATTGATAAAAAATTAATTCAAAATTAATTTTTATTGTTARATAGTTTTCTTAATTAACAAAATTAAACAATTTTGTTTATTTGTGCATTGCAATGTTGGAGAGGGCGCGTCTGGCGGTGGCGGCTGTGCGGAGCCCTGGGGAAGGAGGCGCTCTCTGTGTTAGGCTGCAGTAACATCTCCAATACCCCGTGACACGGCCCTGCCCGCATCCCGTTCCTCTYGGTGAAGTGAGAATTCCTCTTGGTGAAGGGAGAAGGGCCCTGCTCCTTGCCGAGCTGCTGCTGACACTTCCCTGACATTGCAGAGAGACTGTCTGCAGGAGGCAGAGCTGCAAAACGTTACTCGCTGCTTCCTCATCGGCCTGTATCCAGGTCTGCTGGCACAATTCATGCCTATACACCYGTGAGTTTAGCGGTTTTCCTTTTATAGACTCAATGCATTGTCCTGGATATAGGTGAACTGATGGAAATGGGTTATTGCAGCCTCACCTTCTTGCGAGGAAAAGGTTTAGATTCACTGTGACTTCACGGTTGGCGTCTCCTCCTGTAAGCTGACTGCAAGGACTCCCTGGGTCTGTCCTGACCATCTTGTGCCAATGGAGGCAATCACATCATATAATCATTTTTCTTAGAATACTAAGCTTAAAGACCAGATTTGACTGCCCTTATTTCTGCCCTTGCTACTGCTGCTTCAAAACTGCTCTGGAATCTTATGCCTCTGATAGTTAGAAATCTCTCTGTGATACCCAGTTTGGGTATTAAGTAAATGCCAGCTCTTGTACCAGCATGGTCCTTAAAACTAAAATAGATCTTAAAATTCCCTTGAACTGAACAGCCTCTTATACTTKATTATTTATTATGAAAAAATACATATTTGCTTGGGCTAAATATTCCTTTAATTTCTTGTAGTACCAAAGTTTTCCATTGCTATGTTTTAAGCAGCCCAGTCTACACAAATCCTACTTGGAGTTAATCTTTYGGGAATGTGTATGACTGAGAATGCATGCAGTACTGCAGATGAAATATTGCTCCAATGCTTCTGCCCTTCCTTAGGTCCTTTCCAGGGACCCYATCTGCCCCAAGGAAGGTCACCTCGCACTGCAGGTTCAGGCTGTAGCATTACATACACTTCAGCAGCACAAATCTGCTCGGAAAGAAGAGCTGCCCTTCCCTGACCTCTGGCTTTCCTTCCTCCCCCCGTGCATCCTTTCCATTTTGCCAGCACCTATTTGTGTTTCTGTACAGCAAAGCAGATTGAGAAAGTGATTGAATGTTTTCTTCCCTTGGCTGTTTTTCCCACCTTACAATTCCTGCACTAATCCCCATTTTTTTTTTTTTCAGCTTAACTAATCGTTTTTCACTTGGCACCACACGGACACTTCAGTGAAACCCTGACAGATTCTCTCTGCTGCATCGTGCCCATAAAATCTGCAGGCACAGTGCGTGCCTAGCACACAAGAAAGAAACCTTTGATATGTATGACCAAATTCAAATGGAATGGCAGACACTGCTAACGCGACTTTTCCTAAATCAGGGTGAAATGGAACAAAGCCTAGAAAACAGCTCAGCGAGCTGAAGGTCATGTGCAGAACCGGCTAAGGAGAAGTGACCCACTGTGGGAAGCATCACCTTGCTCCATAAGTGGGAGGAATATGGTCAGAGAGCAACAAAGAATTAATAAAGGGTCTGTGGTGTGGACTCTGCAGAGAATGAATGGGATGTCTCAAGGAAGAGGAAGCAGAAGCAATGTGGGACATGAAGAGAATGGGAGGAAGCCGAAAAAAACCCTAAGAATAATAGAGGGATGGGGTGATGGCAGAAGGAAGGAGATGAGGGCAGAAGAAAAGATGAAGTATAAAGGCTAGCATTGACACAGCGAGTCCTTTCCTCATGGTCCCAAAGMAAGGTACTAAAACAGTTACTTTCCCACCCTGTTCAAAACCTTTACAGAGGCCCAATAATGCTGCCCTACACCTGGACCTGTCCTGTTAACAGGTGTCGAGCCTGAAGTGCAGATCCAGTAAAAAAACAGGACAACAGTAGCTCTAAATAAACTAGCCCGTTCCCACTATTAATAAAATCAGTTGGTGCTATTTTCTTAAAACTATGCTTATAATATATAGATTTCCAATAACACCCTGGGTAGCCCAAAATGGGACAACACAAATCGGTTGTATGGTAAGAAAGAACAAGAAACAAGAACAATATAAACACTGGTTTGCAGCCCTGACCCCATGGTGTTCCCTACCACAATGAAAGTAAAAACACATGTTCCCTGACCAGCATCCAGCACTTTGTCACTGCTGCCGGACATTTCGCTGCCTCGGGGCTTGTCGAGGGCAAAGCAGCCTTGGTTTAGCTGGGTTTAATTTGCTGCAAAGGGCTGGGTGAATTCTGATTTTGACTTAAGTCAGACCCATTTCAGTTTAGCTCGACAAATTAAGGTCAGCTAAAGCCTGAGTGACTCTGTTGATTGGGACAATCATGTTTCTAATCAATTGCTTACAATTACAGTCCTACCTGCCCTGGCAAAGGCTTGTTTTCCAGTAGCTTATCTTGATGAAGTTTGGCCTGGCTCCTCAAACTGTCTTAATTGACTTCAAAATTGTGCCTGAATGCTCCTTATGACCTGGTGTGACTTGAGCTAACGTCACCGCATCTTTTCTGCTTCTGAGAGCAAAACACTAACCCACACATAAACCAGCACAAATAGCAAGTTCGATGCGAGAGTAATGATTACTCCAAAATTAAGTGTATTTTTTTTTCATTATTGCAGCCAAAACCAGACACATTTTAATGAACAGATGAAGACAGAACTCTTAGTCCTGTACAGGCATAGGGCATTCTGAACCAGTGCATCGCACATACATCAAAGCAAGGCTCCCTTAACTCAAAGCCTCTGAGAGCAACTTGGCGCCTCAGTCCTCCCGGGTGAAGTGCTTGGCCGGAATACTCAGACTGTTGCTTGAACACAGGGACACCAATCTGCTTAGGGAAATTTAATGGAAATTGCGAATTAAATGAATGGAAAATCAGGCTTCATTGTTCTGAATAAGAGTATCCGCAGAAGGAGTTATACCGGTATAACAATAGTAGGACAATTACAACACTGTAACAATGTCAGTACGTTTCCTTAGCCTCCTTAGGGAGAACCTGAACTTGTCTTAGTCTTAGAAGGGCTTGTCAACTTCCTCCTTAGTGAGGAAATAGTTTAACTACTTCCTCTGCAGAGCGGGGGGGGGGAACAAGGAGAATAACTTTGCCATTTTCTGTCATTAATTTTAGGCCAAGGTCTAAATCAGGTAACTTTAAAGAAAATTTCTCCTAGTTGACATTGTCATGACCCATCTGCCACAGCAAAAGCAAACTATTAACAACTGTTCCTATCTTCTGTTGGGCAGGAAGGCTCAGCCAGGCCACCCCACTTCTTAGGGCCTTGGCCACACTAAGGAAAAGCCCAACTACTCTGCTARCATGGGGCTAAGGCTTGCGTTCAGACTGCTAGGCTACAATTAGGGTTTAACACTTGCCACATACACAGAACTTGCAAAGCACAAACTYCCCAGTGATGCAGAGGCTTTCATCTTTTCCAAATGCCATTAGAGAAATGCCAGATTATTTTTTCCTGGGACAAAAAAGCAGTGACAATGGATGGCGGGCTGCGAGCATGAGCACTTTCTGGGGGCACTCACACTTCCCGGGGCGCCGCCGCCCCCACGCTCGCGGCCGGCCCCACGGGCCCGGCCCCACGGGGCCGCTGCAGCCGCGGCCCGGCCGCCCCCGCGGGCGCCAGCCCCTGCCGCCTCCCCGCCGCCACCTTCCCTGTGCCCCGAGGGGACCGGGAGAAACGGAGCGGGGCCTTTGTGCCCCAAGGCCGCCCGGGGCCGGGGCMGSGGCWGCGGGCAGCGCCCGGCCGCTCTGCTCTGCTGTCCTCTCCCCGCCCGCGCCCCGGGGGCGCCGCCATCTCGCACCACCGCCCTCCTCCCCCTCCACCSCGTCCCTCCAACCGCCCCACGGCCTCCGAGGGGGGATTTAAATCAGAACCCGGAAGCCGGCGCGGGCGGCGCAAGGCACGGCGGGACTTGTGGTCCAGGTGCCACGCGAGGGCGCGGTGGGGCCCGGGCGCGGGTACCACAGTTCCCGGGAGCCTCCGCGGCCGCCGCCGCCCCAGGCGCGCAGGCGCGGTGCGGGGGGCTGGTTTTTGAATCCGCGGCGTTGTTATTGACGCCATATTGCTGGTGCGGGAGTCACAGAGGGGAGCGCCGCCGCCATCGCTCGTCATCGGCGGCCCYGCGCCGGGTAGCCGGGCCCAGCTCCGCACCCGCCGGCCCCGCCGCGCCCCCGCCACCGGCCCAGGGCGGAATTGGCCCGGCCGAGGGCGGCGACAAGAAGAAAAGGGCTCGCGGCGGCGGCCGAGCCGGAGACGCCGCGGCCGGGGCCGGCGCGCAGAGCGAGGCCCGGCGGGGAGGCGGCGGCGGAGGCCCTGACGCGGCCGCCCCCTTTTCTCCGCGCCGCCCTCCCGCTCCGCAGCGCGGCCGAGGAGCCCCCGGGCAGGGCCGCTCCGCGCCCCGCCGCCGCCGCCGCCCCGCGCCATGGCGTGCGGCGCCACGTTGAAAAGGACTCTGGATTTCGACCCGCTGCTGAGCCCGGCGTCGCCGAAGCGCAGGCGATGCGCGCCCTTGTCGGCGCCGGCCTCGGCCGCCGCCGCCTCCTCCTTCGCCGCCTCCTCGCCGCAGAAGTACCTGCGCATGGAGCCCTCGCCCTTCGGAGAGGTCTCGTCCCGGCTCACCACAGGTGAGGGGACCCCGCGGGCCCCCCGTGGGGCTGGGGCTGAGCTGGGCAGGGGGCGCAGGCGGCGGGGTGGGGAGGCTCCCGCSTGGCCCCCCCGTCCCCTTCCCTCTCCCGCGGCCATTTTCCGCGGGGCCGGGGCGCTCCCCGCGCGCTTGGCACCGCCGCGGCGGAGACACAATAGAAATGGCCGTTTGCAGCAGGAGAGGGGGAGGAGGAGGAGGGAGGAGGAAGGGGGGGCGGGTTGGGCCGATGCGGGCGGCCATGGCGAGGGGGTCGGGGGAGGAGGAAGCGGGGGGACCGGGG